CTGCTGCGTTGTTATAAAGGCGTGTAATAAGTTTGGATAGGTCCACTACTGGAGGGATATACACTGGTCTTGCCTGGGACTCCTTGCCCAGATTGAGTCCAGGGTGAAGGTGGACATAGAGGGTGCGTTCAACGAGCTGAGCGGCAGAGGTGAGGACTGGAGCGATGCGAAGAGGGAGGGTGTGGAGGGGAGACGTCAGCACCAGGACACCAGTGCTGAACATTGACATCTTGCTGCTGGCTTGATATTCCCAAAACACAAACTCCTGGAGGACATTGGGACATATGAATAACAAGATCAAACAAATTATAGTCACCTCTGTGTTTCAAATATATTTAAAGGTGCATTAAATGTACTTCTGGTGTGAGGGTAGAGATATTATTGCATTGCCTGGAATATTCCACAGTACTGCATTAAACTTCTCTATCTTGCGTATATTCAAGCACAAGTGTTTTTATCATGCAAAAATGCCTTGAAAAATATGCACTTTATTGTGGGTTCGGTCGGATAAGTAAAGGATAAGTAAAGTTGGATAAGTTGTGGAGATAGATAAGCTGCCATACTGTGGAACATTCTGGGCAAAGCAGTAACATCGCTAAGGAAACAAGCAGGAGTCGGACTCTTGACAAGAAATGTTACATAGTGAACCTTTAACCACACTTTAGTATGTATAAGAGAATCATTGACAACTGGTGTTAGAAGGCAGCATGTACTTCTTATGATGCACTCATTATAACACTATTACAATGGAGCAGGAGTGTGTGGATTAGAGATCTTTAAATATAATAAACAGAAAATGCAAGAAATAGGGGTAATTGGTAATCTTGCTCGCCTTGCTATTCTTGCCTCACCTTCAGACGGGGTACAAGGGCTAAACTAGCTGGGCCACATGCTATAGGGCAATACATACTGTGGTCTTGGAGAAGGACTTGAAGAGCAAGCTAAAGCTATAATGATCTTTAAGTAAACACGTTTTCAACACAGCAGCCTAATAACACAAATTCTAAATTGCAAGTATAAAACATGAAGAGCGACTTCAAGTGTGTGTGCTGCCATTTACCAGCTATCACAAATGTTATGATGTTGATTATTCAAAAGCAAATCTTATAGTACATTCTTTGTAGCCTGTAAAACAACACTCGTAACAAATAACACGTTTGGGTGTTGTCGGCCTCTACACTACTGTAATTCGCTAGTAAATACCTTCATATAGCTGTTTTGCTAGGTAGCTCCAGCTTACCTGTGCTGATCAGCGATCTTGTTTACGCGAAAATGATAAATATAGTAGCTACTAATATTCACATGACTTCAGACGACATTATTTTTAAACATATAATGTGCAGAGGGGAAACGACAAAATCCAGTCTCCCTAAAATGCCAAACATCCAGTGGCAGTCACTCATAAGGAGGAATAGTAGGGGAACTGACCACGTGGTATTTGACGTAAAGTCTGATTGGTTGAGAGCACCGCTACGATACATGGGAATTGTAGTCATTTTACAACAACTTTAAAAAAAAAAAAAAAAAAAAAAGACTCTTTGATACACAAAAAGCCAGGTTGTTCAAATAAAAATGTTGTATATCTTATTATCCCAATATCTTAAGTGTTATTAAATGTACTTTTGGTGTGAAGAAGTCAAAAAGAAGAAACAAGAAAATAAGCCTTTTTTAAATATTTATTTCACTTTTTTAAATTAAAGGCCAAAAACTTGTTTTTAAAAATATAATAAAAAAACAAAACAAACTGCACGTGTTTTGTAGAAAGTGTTGCATGAAAGGACCCAAGAGTTCACCGGGCAGAGGCATTGCATACTTAGCAGAGAGAGAAGGATGTCAGGCAAGTATAAACAACAATTCAAGTAAAAGTAAAGAGTAATCATAATAAAGTTACATTTAAGCCTTGTGGCATTTCTTGGAAATTAAGATTGCTGGCATTGTACTTGTGGCAAGAGTTAAAGTGATCGTTTAGGACCAGTTTTTTTCTAAACTAGATTACTGGCAATGGGAAGCTAATATAAGAAGACACTGATGTGCAAATACTGCAGAATTAGGAATGACAGTTTGTTTATAAATCATTTAAAGAAATGGAATGACAAAACTGGTCTTTATGATCAATTTAACTCATTTTTCATAAAGCCATTAGAAATGTTTTAATTGACTTTCTTGTCGCTGGTGCTATCACTGGCAGCTGTATCATAATGGCACTTCTCCACACATCGCCTTGGGAACCATCCTCTTACTCGATCTCCAGCTACAAATGAAAAAAAAAAGTTTAAGTGATTCAATTTGAATGAAAAAGATCATACGGATTTTGTTTTACCTTTCATTTGCTCTTCGCTCAAAACTTTGTCTCCATACATCCACCATCTATATAAGCTAACACTAGTTAGAAAGCCTTTCAAACTATATAAATTAAAATATACCAATTAATTACTTACTTTGTTCCACGTGTAGCCAGGATGGTGTCCCCTTTTCTTAGAGGGATTCTAGGCTCTTCAGTGCAGGGGGTTCTGAAAAAAGTTTGAAGGCCTTTGCTAATTGGACAGCAAGCTCCATTATATTCCTCTACTGCCTGGTATTGAACCTGCTGATTGTGGCATACATCACATCTGGTTATTCAATCTTCTGACATTTGAGAAAACTGCTAAAACATCTGCGGTGTTTATAATACTTACACTTCTCACTCTCTTGTCAGCTTTCTGTTTCAACTGTTCAATCTGTAAAAATACTTGTTGATATTGACTTAAACAAATTCAAGCTATATGCAAATTAAAAAAAACAAAACATAATATACTTACAGTTAAGGTGTACTGGTGACACTTTGCATGCACTGGCCAAACAATGCCGTCACCCTTGGGCATCCCTGACCAGGTAAAAACTTGCTTGAAGTTTAGCCAACGAGTCCCAAGATCATAAGGAAAGATCCACTCCTCTCCAGTTTGGTAGTGTTGTATTCTCTCTTTGGCCTAAAATGAATAAGGTACACAAGTGTTTATTAATCATAAAGAGATATACTGTATAAAAAATTAAGTGTGAAATAAATTTAGAAACCTTTTCCTCAATCCAGGACTCTATTGAGGTCTTGTTTCGAAGTATTACTTTCATCTTTAAAAAAAATCAAATTAAAATGCTTACTTGAAATTATACTTGATCGATATAATTATTAATAGAGTAAAGACTTACTTGTATGACAAAAAGCATACCAACAGCTATAGTGGTGCCCAGAGCCAAGCCTAAGGCAAATAATGTTGCTGCAAATACAGGTATGCTGAAAGGTATGAGAGGCTGGACGTGGTTCACCACACTCATATCAATCTTTACAGTGCTCCAGCCAAAGGAAATCTGTAGTTAGGACAAAATGTTGAATTGATATTATACTCTGAAGCGGTATAATAAGGAAAACTTAAACAAATCATACCCTCTCGTAAAGCTGGGTGTACATGGTCATAATAAAGATGAAGGCAGCATGTGAGCAGCCCAGAGGAGCCAACAACAGAAAACTTGTGAAATAGGCATGGTTTGTATGGCCACAGCAGTTATTGATCCAAGGACAGTGATGATCCATCTTCATGACACACCTTCCAAAGATCAGAAGATAAATAAAATTATTACTTTACAGTTCATTCAAAATAGAAATGTACGAAATACTTCTCTACCTGTTGCACTTGCGGCAATGGTGGGACCTTGGTGACTTAAACCCCTGGCACACACGGCAGTACTGCAGGTATTGACTTTCTTGTATGTTTTCCTGCCATAAAAAAATATTTTTTGCATTTTTAACTGTTATCTTAAAATGATTTGTTTTATTTCTTACTTACTGGTTTCCACCCAAGAGGGATATACCCCGGGCCAACAAACATAGCATTGAAGTAGTTGTACAGAATAAGCACCGTCCAGTTGATGAGCATTATGAAGTTAATGCTACCTCCTGTAGTGTCCAGTGGCCAGTACCAGATTATGGAGTCGAGTATGGCCATGGTGGAACATATAGCAATGACTGATAGAGCTATAATTGGTCCCCAGTGGCATAGTCTCCGAACCTCATGGAGGTTTTCAAATGTTATAATGGCTGAAAGGAAGTTCATTTTGACAAACAAAAAGACAATGCTTTTGCGTTCATGAAATGGATATTGTAATACTAGACGTGTTTCTTTCGTTCTCTGCTATCTTGAAAGGAGGTCAGTGCAGACAGTGCACATGATTTTCCTTGTCTCCTGCTTATCCGGCAAGCAGACTGGTCTTGAGTACCTTGGTATTTTTCTTCCCCATTGTTGTACAATCTGACAAAATGAAGCATTCTTGTTTAGCAATTTTAGGAACTATCCTTTTGACATGTTGACAATCTTGATCTAAAAATAAGAGACAAAACACACATAAAATAAGGCCACTGTAGGCTGTTTGCTAATAATGTTTTCATAAATAAAACTATAAATAGCTCTACTACCAATGCTATAATGATGAAGCCGGTGGCTTCATCATTATAGCATTCAGAAAGGCAGCAGTAATTAGCTGCTGTTGACAAGTGAGCTAATTGACGTAAACAAAATAGCAACAGTGTTGAGTACTGCAAACAAAATCGTGTATACGTTTATAGGTACGAAAGAAACTAGTACAAGCTAACCCCTTTAATAATAGAATTGTTCTAAAATATTGTCTATCGATTTGATTCCAACCACTTGAGCTAGCTGCTAGCCCCTGCCCATGGTAGACAAGACTATCGTATCTGATCTGAATAAAGTTACAGTGCCTCGCATCCATCCAAATATTAACGCACTATAATAACAAACACGCGGAGTATAATTTGCATTTGTTTACGGACAACCTACATAACTGTCACTTTAAATCACAAACCTGACCGCTTCCTTGGATTTTTTTCTTCAATTTCTTCAGCGGATGTAGGAACCTTTTCCCCTCCGATGTAACTATGCTTGTTCATTTGTATTTTCTGATGCAATGATTCAATCATTATTACGCTGTAAATAACAATCAAAACTGAGTATTTACATTTTTTATTTTGAATAGAATATGGTTTTATTCTGTACTGTTTTTTCGGAGACTAAAGTAAATTAAATAAACACGTTGTTTCCTATCGAGTCGATTTGACTGTGACTCAAGGAAGACAGCTGTTCATTCGAGCCGTGTTGTTTTTATCCTGAGCTAACTCTCTCGTAAAGAAACCTGTTTTAAACTTCTTTGTCAAAATGTCTTCTGACTTTGAAACCTACGAGCAAGACTTTGGGACCATCACAGCAGATGTAACAAACAAGATCGGCAGAATTCCCAAACTAAGTGGAGGTAAAACAAGCTAATTGTTTAGCACAAATGGCTAGCACTGTGTTAGCCGCTCAGCTGATGCGTACAGCTAACGGGAGCAAGTGTCATTTACAGAAAGAGGAATTTAATTAAAGCGCCAATTTATGCGCACGATCTTTAAGTATTGCTATATAAAACTGTCCCTCTAACAAGTTTCGACTCTTAACCTTTCACTACTCTGTTCCTGTTTGATGTACATTTAATTGCATTATTAATAACACTTCTGTAACTAATCTAGAGCTATGAACACGCTAAAAAATCTGTCAAAAGTCTGCTATATCAGATGCTGTACTTGAAATTCCACCCTATTATCTTCGTCTGCCTCCGCCCCGTTTTCTCTATCCAAAAGAAATTGGACAAAATATATCAAAAATATTAGGCGTTTATGTTAGTGAGGTCATTTTATTGTAAATAATAATAGTGATAAAAAACAGTCACTATCCTATATCTGTTATGGATATAGATATTTCCACTTGCTTATTGGTATATCACATTTCTCCATGTTTTTATAAAGCTGTTAAAATGTATTGTTGCTACATACTGTAAAATACATACTGGTTAAAAACTGTAGTCCAGCCTCATGACTTGTTTATTAACGTCCATCTGTTGATTCAGGCTCTTTTATATTTCTTCAAAGGAAGCTAGTTACGCTTCACTGCCTTATAGATTGGCATCAATGGCCTATATCTCCTTTATTTTCCACATTTTACATTTTTATTTACAGTGTTTCATTGAATTCATCACATTCTGGCCAAGCACTTTTGTCATGCCTATTGGTTTTGCCTTTACTGTCCATGCGCCTGTCAGCTGATGAACCCATGCTGTGTAAACTAGTGTCATTTACTGTCCTTCATTCATGCAACAAGCAAATGCTCCATGCAATAAGCAAAACTAAATCTTAACATTAAATTCTTAGTGTAGTGTCTGAGAATTTTAAATATTTGATTTAGATGTGTCATAAGAACATAAGATGTGTGTATCTTTTATCTAAATACATGTACAAAACTGGCTAAGCAATTTAGTAACATCTTATCCAATGTAATTTTATGTTGTGATACTGTGTTTATAGTGTGGAATTATTTTTGGCCTAAATCATTTAAAGGTGGACTATATTAAACTTCTGATGAGGGCTCCAATACCTCCTTGTCTACACAGAGGTATTTTGCTTTGCTTTTAATAGTGTTAAACCGATCTATCTTGCTTTTATTCAGTTTTTATTGCAAAGAAAAACAAATAGAGCAATTTAACTCTATTTGCTTGTCTCCGTGAAGACAGGACAAGCAGGTGGTGAACCCTGCACCAGAATAATTACAAATGTTTTTTTGTTTTTTTTTTGTATTCAAAACTTTTTTTCCACAAACTTTATCAACCATGAGAGGATATCAACTCAAACGGCAATGAGACTGTAACTCCTCTGCTTTAAATAACACTGTCTGTTGTAATGCGGGGTCCGTCTTGACTTCTTCCTGTGCCTCTTTTGAACTGCTGCTTGTCCTAATGAGTTTCAATGGGTAATGTTGAAGAGCAGCCACAGGGTTTAAGGCGCACACCGGCGCGTTAGTCATTCTACGCGGGCCTCTCACTCGCGGCAAACGGAGCGGAGCTGACACCTCCCTCTCCCTTTGAGGCTGCAGCGAGGTGTCTCACTGCTCCTCAACGCCAGCCAACAAAGGCCTCGGCGACGCCAATAACTACCAGACTTCAAATGTGGGCTTGTCGCATGTGCAGAATGTGTAAATATATCTTCAAATGTGTCCTCGCGTGTTGTTTTTTCACCACCACCCCTCCTCCGACTGCACTGTTGCGGGGGAGTCAGGCTGTTGTCATGAAGCGCTGTTCTCTCTGTCTGCTGATCAATATGTCGTTGTGACTTTTCCCTTCTTTTTTTCTTGCAGAGGAAAAGACACAGCTGGTTCTAAATGTCGACAAACAGCTTGAAGAAGTCAGAGAGTTGGTGGGTCTTTGATCAGTAATTTTCCATTTCCTAAATAATGAATTTGTGGAAAAGGGAAGGAGGGGACCTTTTTTTCAGTGACGCCAGACAACAAGCACCTGTGTGTTCTTCTGACTTGACACGCGCTTCCAAGGCGTTCTCCTCTCCTGATTACTTCCCACTAATTCGCTTTTAAGTGACACCCCTATGACATATTTCAAGCCATTATCTCGAGGTGGGAGTCTTGTAGCGGTTTTAGAAAATGAGCACCTGACTGAGACAAATTGTTGTTGCAGTTGTCTTGTTCTGTCAACGTGATTAGATTTTCTCCAAATCTTCTGCAGAGACCTGTCTAGCCACAGATCAAATGTACCACAGCTTCATTCAAAGTGACACAGTAGAGTCTATGTATGGAGCTACAATATATAGGATGTGTGCTTAGGGATAGTTCTCATACAGGGTTTGAACAAGTTTGTCAGGTTCTATCTTTAGCATGACAGCGGTATGATACAGATATGATCATTAAATATTTGTTTTGATGCCATTTGAATGTTAACATATGAATGTGTTGTAGCTGGAGCAGATGGACCTGGAGGTACGCGAGATCCCCGTTCAGAGCAGAGCCATGTACAACAGCAGACTGAAGAGCTACAAGCAGGAGATGGACAAACTGGAAAAAGACTTTGTAAGTAGTTTCCTGCACAATCAGCACCATGGACAGTGGAAGAATTCTGCACTGTAAAATATTATAAATAAAATAAATAGAGATGCATTGAGCCATTTATCCAGGCTTTTCACTTCCAGTACCAATATTTTTCCTTTTAAACAAAAATTGCAACAAAACCCATCCAAATAACTGTGTAAATGTTATGTATCCTTCAATAAAATTCTAAAAATACATTTCAAGTCCTGTTCCAACCACATATTGGTCCTTTGTTCATTTAATATTAGAATGCCTCACATCAGTACTATGTAAGGCAGTACAATAGAGCAAAAATCTGTAATGGCTAAATTACAAATTTACTGATTTGGTTTATTATTAAAACTGTAAAATGTAGGCCTCCATTTCTGGCAAAACCAAACCTCACATGTTCTCTCAACATATTTAACTAATTTATAGTTGATTCTTCCACTTTCTATGGTTTTAAAAGACTGTGTCATTATCCTACAACATGCAATTCTAAATAATGCTAACGGGAGCTCCCTTAATGATAAAAGTGTCCTCTTTAATGTCTTTATGGTCAATACTGATGCACTGTTTACTTCATAAATTCCCCCTCAGACCAAAGTAGAGCCCACAGAGCTGCAGATGTTGTGTTGTCTTTGGAGATTACCCTGTACTGTTGTGTGTATGTGTTTGTGTTGTGGAGGAGTTTGGCCTTGTTTAGTAATTCATAAATCACTGTATTCTTCCACTTGATCTCCAGACCCCATCAAAGCTTAATGAGGATCTTAGTCTTTTGGGTCACACCCTTGGCTCCTGATCCTTTTCATTCACAGAGCATTAATTAGACCATATCAACTCGATTTTCAAAGTTTTTAATTCAATACTGTATTTATTTTTCATAGTTTTTAACTCCTATTTACAACTTGCTTCACAACATGAACACAAACCCAGAGTGATCAGTTGGCCTTGAGTTTTACAACAACAGACATTGAAGGGAAAATCAATCCATAACCTCACAACATTGCCTTGACTGGAAGTTAAGACCATTAACTGTAATTCCAACTAAAACTCTTCAAAATGTTTTTTTTTTTATCCAGCCCCAAATTGTATTTTTAGCTAAAATTATTGCAGTATAGTTGTAATTATTTTTCTGACCTGAGTGATTCTAGGTGTGACTTATTGTTTATTATATGAAAGCTGGAACAGTACGGAATATTTTGAGGCTCAACATTTATCATGTGTCCATTTCCTTTACAATACTGGGGAGAGTTTTGCCTTTTTTATGTAATGATGTAAGATTTGAGCTGTAGAGAGTAGGTTAAATAACTTCTATGTCTGATTGTTGGTTCGTTTTACCATTTATTTGCTATAGCTTAGTGTCAGTGGCATAAACTATTTTCAGTATTATCTTTGATCGTAATATGTCTCTGTAGCAATATGTTGTGCTTCAAAATGTGTTATTGTGGCAGGCCTAGTGAATACTGCTAACTTATACTATTTGAATTTTGTCTAAACAAACCTAGATAATTTAACTAAGTGCTTATAAACTTCTTAGTGAGATCACAGGGGTGCCAAAATGGTTTGATTTTCTCACCATTGGAAATTAATTACTTCACAGTTGGACATATTTAACTTGCACTTCTCATGGTCCCATCTGAACATTTAGCCTGAATTGTTCAAAATTGAGGTTCTGATGAATATATCTCAAATTTTAACTTAACACATAATATATTCAACATTTTGTAACAGTGCTTCATCTCAGAACAATACCTTTTTTAATTTGGTGAAATCCATCTTGACCTAAGCTGTTTTTCTGTGACCAGTATCTGAATGTAATTCTAGTCTGACCACTTTAGAATGGCTGTAGTTGTCTCTGAGTATTCTTTAAAAGTACAGCTGCCTCTCTCGCTGTATCTCTCTCTCTTTCCCTGGTGTGGTGTACACTTTCTCTGCCTGTGCTCCGTGTGTGTGGCCTGGTCAGATCACAGTTGCATTTAAACCCTCAGCAGCCACTTGACACAGGAACACGGAGTTGAACCTCTCTGCCGTAAATCTGATGCAAGTGTTCAGAAGGCCAGGACTGCAGCTCCTCAGATGTGCCTCAGATGTGCCAAACGCTTTAGCCTCTCGCCTCCCGCTGGCCCGGAGAGGACATGACACTCTCAACCAAATCGCCTTTCTTTTTAATGTAAAAGGCCCAGGCTTTGTTGTGCTTTTGGCGGATATCAAGGCTCTCCCTCTGCTCCCTCAGAACCACCCCCTCCCTGTCTCCTTACCCCCCACCGGTCTCCCACGGGCGTCTCCAACCTTAACCCTCTTTCTTCACCCTCAGTTTGAAGTCTGCTACCACCGGTGTGCCAGCTGCACTCCTCGTTCTCGCACCTTTACAGACAATGTCCAAGGCAATCCAGACAGTTCCTCCCAACACACATCTCCCATAGTTTAGCCCAGGGTAACACACTGGATCTTAGACATGAAACTGTGCTCTACTTTATGTGGTCAAAATCAAGGCCTTAAAAAGAAAGCAATGCACAGGAATATACCAGGAGAAAGTAATTTTATTTTTATAAGTAAATCATGCATCAAAATGTTAAAATAACCCCCAAACAATTCTAACTTGTAAATTACATTTATTATATCTACCTTCACTGCTTTTAGTCTTTCAGGTTAAATCACATAAAAATGATGGTTAAGTTTTCAGATGCTGTTAATTCTACAATCTCACAATCCATCTAAAACAAATTATTCAGAAAGTATTCTTCCAAAAATATTGCTGAATTACAAAAAAGGCTAGTGTTACTGTATACTGTATGTGTAGTGAAATGTAATGTTGTTATTTTTAAAGTGCTATTATGAATAAGGTTTGAGAGAGAGAGAATTAAATAGTAAAATCCTGTAGATGCCCTGTAAAAGTTGCTTGTTGACAGCTGGACAGCAGGGGTCCAAAAGGTAGTGGCCCATGACAAATAAGCATGTAAAATGGGACAACAGTGGGATTGTGAAGTGAAGACGAAATTAAGAAGGACAATGAAAATCCGATTTGATGGCGCTGCCTTCAAGTCGTTGGCAGCAGAACGGCGTAGCTCTTAGCATCAGCTTTGATCAGGAAAAGAAGTTGTCTAACGCGGGCTTAATCTAATGAAATCTATCGGGTAAACAGAGGCGCCATCTTCAAAGGGCCTGGTTTGGTCTGTCCCAGTGGGGAAGGTGGGGGGCCACAGCTTCTGTTGTGTCTTACAAAACACAATACGTTTGGCTGGATGTGGCTCCAGCTCTGCAACTGTCTGCTGGATATCACGTGGGGCGATAACACATGATAAAAGTGTCAGCACAAAACTGTCACTAAATATCTTTGTCCCAGAAATGTACATGTGATTTTCTGTCAGACACCTCTTTTGTCTCTATGTATTTTGAATATCAAAGCCTTCCCACTCTTGTCCCCTTCTGAGTTTACATTTTTAGGCAGAAAATTAGAAGCTAGCATCCTCAAGTAACCTAATGTGCTTTTGCGGCTTATAATTTAAAATCTTTATGTTGTTGTCAAGGTTAGAAATCAAACTTTGAATCAAAACTTCTGGCACATTGTTGCTCTCAATATTCTTATTACTGTTGCTGTTACCCTACATTTCCAGTAGATGGCGATATTGGTCTAATTTTTGTCAGTTATTTAAAGGACATTTTCTGTTCCAATCGTCAGTTGCTTGGCCTAAAAATTAAATATTGTTGAGGATGACCCCTTTTAGTCTCCTATTGTTTATTGTATACTCAACAATATGCCCCAATGGCCCTTAAATTCGGTGAATATGATATAGTAGTGTTTTTGTTTTTTTTTACCTTGTGTGGTTATGAACCAGTTAGCTGTTCATTATTATGGGAAGTCAATAGCAGTTTTTCGGTCCAAGGATCTCCTCTATATTAGTTTCTGTGCAATTAATCTCAGGTCACTCTGCATTCTGTCATCATCCACAGAAGTACATTACATTCAGTTATAAAGACGTATTACAACAATCAGTGCAAGGTGTTGAAATGGATAAATCATTGTAACAGGACATAATATAAAAAAAATCATCTAACCTTGTGTCTAACTGTGTGTTGAAAAAGAATAATTGCTCAAAGAAACTTAATTTGCTCAATGTACAATACTTTATTTTAGTTATGAAAATATCTTCTATAACATCATAATGATCATATTTGAGTTTTACTTTTAATCACAGAGCAAATTCAATGAGGCATTCTTAGTCCCATTTTATCATTGTTGTAAGTTTGGTCATGTTCAAGTGGACTTTTCCAATGGCAACCTTGAAAAACTGAACAGTTGATTTGCAGATCTCCATTGAGTGCATAGACCAAAGGTGGTGTATTGGTATCAGAAGGGTTGAGTGACCTTCTGGATACGAGATATAGTAAGAGGTAGGTATTCATTCTGAACATTTTTGAAGGACTTTTAAACTCTCATGAGATAATTTCCGGTCAAACAAAATGCTTTTAATTCGTAGATTCACACCAAGAGGTCAAGGTGGTGTTATCATATTAATTTAGCTAGAGTAATGACTTTATAGAGATTTGCAAAGCCCTCCAAAGCTATAAGGATCATCGTGATATTATTCAAGTTTCAAATACGAACATTAGTGTAATTAAGAGTCCCATTTAGTGTGACCGCCGATTCAAGGTTGCAAAGACTTTCCAACTTATAAGTTACAAACTCCAAAAGTCACTGAAACTTGAAATGATTTTGCAAAATTGAGTCTATCCAAAATCTCTTCTTGTAATCCATGTTCGAAGTTGCATTATCACGGCCCCTGTCCTTCTTACTATGCTGACAAAACAAAGAAATCATGTATTGAACACTTCCAATCGCCTTAGGTTGCCTTGGTCTGCTTGTTCGTACTAAAGCATGTTGTTTTGAAGATTCATCAACACAACCAAAGCCTAATCATGCTTAACCAGTCATGAAAGGACAGTTGATTTGACAAGGATTTTCCCCCTATATTCTCAGATTGAAGATGTAAACAAACAGA